AGAAATGTACTATAATTCCATATTAGCTATAAACCTACAAGAATGGTAATACAGACCCACAGAAAGATACTACAGATTCACAGGAAGGTACTAAAAGATCCACAGGAGCTATAAACCTACAGAAAGATAATACAGACCCACAGGAAAGTACTACAGACCCACAATAGCTACAAAACTACAGAAAGGTAATTTAGACCCGCAGGAAGGTGTTACAGACCCACATTAGCTACAAACCTACAGGAAGGTGCTACAGACCCACAGGGAAGTACCAGAGACTCATAGGGTCGGCTACAGATCTACAACATGGTGCTCTTCTTCCAATGGGCCTGAGCAGTTTTTCTTTCAAGGTTTTTTCTTTCTTTCCTCCTAGGCATATGTGGGTGTATTATTTAGACATAACTGTACCCCCAGTTACCTTTGACTGTTTATGTAACTTTGTGTTTTTGGACACTGTATTCTCACTGTTTCTGGAAATAGCTGTCACGAAATGCTTGTGATGTATATTATCAAGTGTTAAGTATTCATTATACAGTTTTTTGTTTATTTATGGGTTTTAAGTAAATAATAATATTTTTTTTGGGCATGAAGAGGTGCACAATTCACATAATTAGAAATACATATGACATATATGCAAAATACATATGGAAAAATACACACAGTAATGTAATTCAATAATGGTAAAGTAATTTCAATTTATGTTCTGGAAATAGCACTATAATACCTCTAGGTACATATGAAAGAGCCTTATATCACCCACTTACCTGACCAATGTTGGAATTGCGAGAAATTGCCACTTTCTAAATGTTTTCCCCCTGGGTGAGCAAGCATGAAGACTTACATAATAATTGCATGCATATGTTGGCCGCTAGCGCCCCCACAAGCTGCCCCCCGTCATCTTACACATCTCCACTACTCCCTCAAACTCTACCTATGTACAAAAAATGGTTTGTGTTAAACCCTGAGGATTTAAATGCCCAGGAAGTAGAGTTTAAATGCCCGCTGTCGTGTCATGCGGAGAATGAATGAGTCGGGAGCACATCCAGCCCGACTTTGCACATTTCGATCTCAATTCTCGTCTCGGTGCGGGTTCAGAGGCGGATAAAACCACACTCCAAAGATGCTATATGTCTTCAAAAACGTGCAGCACTGTATCAAGTCCCGATCCGGGGCCAAATACCCTACGAAAATTAATAAAATTCTTACCTGTGCACAGTCGGAGCCCTTGCCTCACGTCCGCCATTTTGGAATGTACAGACGTCAGAGGACCTTGAGCAGGGTAGCCAACCATCTGGAGATTTGCGCTGATTAACACTATCGTTCACTCATTTTCACTCAGAGCTCCTCTTCCGCAGCCTCCCTCCTGACCCAGCAGGCTGTGGTGGCCAGCGGCAGCTACAACCACTTGCTAGCGGGTGTGTGATGAGCGGGAGAGCCAAGCTACGGCCACCACCCCACACACTCCTTCTGAAGACTTGTCCAGGGAGAAGACTCCGGGTTGTCCACTAAGCAACGGAACAAAACGATGAGCGGTGGAAAGTTCTGCGGCGAGCCGCAGCATCCAGTCTACAGCGAGATGAGATGATGTGGCCTAGAGACAGACCCAGCCTCGCTAATACGTGAAGTAAAATGCACAAAATCTATCTCTAGGGAGCTTTCAGTTTACTTGTGGTGTATCTTCTTGTCAAAATCATAATCCTGGGGTCAGGTTGACCTTATGTGAGGTCATACGGGGCACAAAAAACTTTGCTAATCACTTTAGAAACGCCTTCTTTGTGGGCAACAAATTTTATTTCTTGTAATTAACGTAATATTTCACTCTAAACACACTTTCCACATTTTGCGCATCAATTAAAGTACAATGAAAAATATTATATTGAAACAGTTGCATTACTAGGGCGACAATAACATATCACGCCACAGGGGTATTTTAGTGCTTATTTATCAAATTTTCTAAGTAATGACAGTTGCATATTTTACAGGAGGAGACCACAGCGAGGCAAACCTCGGCAGCCTCTATGTTAAAGGAAAGTAGAGGTGGGTAGGCTTAGTGGGCCACCACAAGTTACCCTAATACCCATACTCCCCATATACATCCGCTCTTCAAGACCGTCTTGATCCTTACTCGAGGAACTTAACGAAAACCCTCGAGTCACTGCTGGTCTGTCATCCTTCATCACGTGAGGTTCTCTCTGTAAGAGAATAAACAATATTACCAGTGTTCTTGAGCATCTGGGTGTTCAGCTTTCCCTATATTGGGACAAATAGCTCACACATATAATGTGTGCATTGAGACCTATATATCACTGTATACACCGCTACATACTTCACTAATACTATTATTTATGCACTTCCTGTGTAGTCTCTGCATTTCTCATGACGAATGGAGTACTTATATACTTCTATTCCTAAAAATGCAGATTGCAAGAGAATTTACGCACATGTTTTTGGGTGACAGTTGTGTGTGGTGCCCAGCCTATCTCACCCATCCACTCCTAACACCACAGTGGGGACATTAAAACCACTGGTTAATCAGCCAGTATCAACAGGTACACACTGAGAAAATGGTATAACTTGTCATTTGTAATTAATAGAAGGAAAAACAACGATCTGTGCACCGATACTCGAGTGAGATGGTTCAGCGCCATCAACGTGGACAACATGAGACCATTATTGTCAGTTAAGAGTGAGGTACCGCTAGGTTCTTACAAAGTATTTCTTCACAAAATTATAGCAGTAGGTTGATGATATGTAATCCAGGAGGAAGCAGTATGCGCTACAACCACTCAAAGTTTTGTGAACAATCATACTGCCAACTAACTGCTGAAGATAAGATACTACATGCATAACTCTGCGCCTGTAACTATAACTACTGAAGACAAGATACTACATCATAACTGCGCCTGTAACTATAACTACTGAAGACAAGATACTACAATCATAACTGCGCCTGTAACTATAACTATTGAAGACAAGATACTACAAGCATAACTCTGCGCTTGTAACTATAACTACTGAAGACAAGATACTACAAGCATAAATCTGCGCCTGTAACTATAACTACTGAAGACAAGATACTACAAGCATAAATCTGCGCCTGTAACTATAACTACTGAAGACAAGACACTACAAGCATAAATCTGCGCCTGTAACTATAACTACTGAAGACAAGACACTACAAGCATAAATCTGCGCCTGTAACTATAACTACTGAAGACAAGACACTACAAGCATAAATCTGCGCCTGTAACTATAACTACTGAAGACAAGACACTACAAGCATAACTCTGAGCTTGTAAATAACAAAAAGGCACAATACCGTGACTGGAACGATACACAAATAACCCGCACATAAAAGAGAGAAGCTTACGACGACGTTTCGGTCCGACTTGGACCATTGACAAAGTCACACCCTGTGACTTTGTAAATGGTCCAAGTCGGACCGAAACGTCGTCGTAACCTTCTCTCTTTTATGTGCGGGTTATTTGTGTATCTGAGTTTGTAACTATAACTACTGAAGACAAGACACCACAAGCATAACTCTGCGCCTGTAACTATAACTACTGAAGACAAGACACCACAAGCATAGCGCTCCTCCTATAAATATACCGAAGACGGGATACCATAAGCATAACTATGCTGTTATAGTTACAAACACTGAAGGTAGGGCACTACAAGCATAGCTATGTTTCAACCACAAATACTTAAGTCAGGGCACCACGAGCATAGATTTGCTGTTGTAACTAAGTACAGGTCATCACATGCGTACAGGTCATCACATGCGTACAGGTCATCACATGCGTACAGGTCATCACATGCGTACAGGTCATCACATGCGTACAGGTCATCACATGCGTACAGGTCATCACATGCGTACAGGTCATCACATGCGTTAAGAGGCATATGGGGAAAACTTTATTTCACAAATATTGGAGCTGACCACTGGAAAAATAATGTATGGAAAAAACACTAAATGTTCTAACATACAGTGTGGAAAAAACACCGAATGTTCTAACATACAGTGTGGAAAAAACACCGAATGTTCTAACATACAGTAAGGAAAAAACACTGAATGTTCTAACATACAGTGTGGAAAAAACACCGAATGTTCTAACATACAGTAAGGAAAAAACACTGAATGTTCTAACATACAGTGTGGAAAACGGTGAATGTTCTAACATACAGTGTGGAAAAAACACCGAATGTTCTAACATACAGTGTGGAAAAACGGTGAATGTTCTAACACACAGTATACCAACAATTCGGAAGAGAAGTCTGTCCTCTTAGGAAAGATTTCCGGTACATGGGATCAACCCATGTACTTTTTCCAGCGCATTTATATCCATTCTGTAATACGGTGACCAGAACTGAGCAGCATAATTTAAATGAGGCCTAACCAACGATATACAGAGCTGAAGTATAAGCTGAAGACTCCTGTTATTATATTTATTTATAAGAAACCAAGAATTCTATTCGCTTTAATGCGAACACTTCCGCACTGTTGCTTTGGCTTCAGATCACTGCTAGCTAGAATTCGTAAATCTTTTACGCATTCATAGTGATTATAATATACATTATTTAGTTTATAAGAGTCATAGTTATTTTCTTTTCCAAGGCTTAGAACTTTGCATCTGCCACTTCTCCGACCACTACATCAGCCACTATATATGCCACTTCTCCGACCACTACATCAACCACTATATATGCCACTTCTCCGACCACTACATCAACCACTATATATGCCACTTCTCCGACCACTACATCAACCACTATATATGGCACTTCTCCGACCACTACATCAACCACTATATATGCCACTTCTCCGACCACTACATCAACCACTATATATGCCACTTCTCCGACCACTACATCAACCACTATATATGGCACTTCTCCGACCACTACATCAACCACTATATATGCCACTTCTACCGACCACTACATCAACCACTATATATGCCACTTCTCCGACCACTACATCAACCACTATATATGCCACTTCTCCGACCACTACATCAACCACTATATATGGCACTTCTCCGACCACTACATCAACCACTATATATGCCACTTCTCCGACCACTACATCAACCACTATATATGCCACTTCTCCGACCACTACATCAACCACTATATATGGCACTTCTCCGACCACTACATCAACCACTATATATGCCACTTCTCCGACCACTACATCAACCACTATATATGCCACTTCTCCGACCACTACATCAACCACTATATATGCCACTTCTCCGACCACTACATCAACCACTATATATGCCACTTCTCCGACCACTACATCAACCACTATATATGCCACTTCTCCGACCACTACATCAACCACTATATATGCCACTTCTCCGACCACTACATCAACCACTATATATGCCACTTCTCCGACCACTACATCAACCACTATATATGCCACTTCTCCGACCACTACATCAACCACTACATCTGCCACTTCTCCGACCACTACATCAACAAATACATACGCCACTTCTCCGACCACTACATCAACCACTACATATGCCACTTCTCCGACCACTACACCAACCACTACATATGCCACTTCTCCGACCACTACATATGCCACTTCTCCGACCACTACACCAACCACTACATATGCCACTTCTCCGACCACTACATATGCCACTTTTAAGACCACTACACCAACCACTACATATGCCACTTCTCCGACCACTACATATGCCACTTCTCCGACCACTACATATGCCACTTCTCCGACCACTACATATGCCACTTCTCCGAACACTACATCAACCACTACATCTGCCACTTCTCCGACCTCTACATCAACCACTATATATGCCACTTCTCCGACCACTACATATGCCACTTCTCCGACCACTACACCAACCACTACATATGCCACTTCTCCCACCACTACATATGCCACTTCTCCGACCACTACATCAACCACTACATCTGCCACTTCTCCGACCACTACATCAACCACTATATATGCCACTTCTCCGACCACTACATATGCCACTTCTCCGACCACTACATATGCCACTTCTCCGACCACTACATCAACCACTACATCTGCCGCTTCTCCGTCCACTACATCAACCACTACATCTGCCACTTCTCCGACCACTACATCAACCACTACATCTGCCACTTCTCCGACCACTACATCAACCACTACATATGCCACTTCTCCTACCACTACATCAACGTATCCAGATCTTCCTGTAGCGGTCTAGTGTCCACATCGAAGTTAGTTATGTAAATGGTTCAGAAAATCGAAAAGTTGATGAACGAGACACTTGTAAAGCACTTGGGTACCTTTATTATGCAAACGTTCAGCAGGCAGTGGTTTCTTCAGTCCTATACTGAGAAGACTGGTGAAAGACGAGAGGTTTGAGGTAATCAGTCCCCCAGAATGGAGTCGATGTACTCAGTCCATCAGTTTTGATAAAATTATCAAAACTGATGGACTGAACACACTGACTTCTGGTTCAGGGACTAATTACCTCAAACTCCTCGTCTTTCACCAGTCTTCTCTGTAATGGACTGAGGAGGCCACTCGCTGGAGAAACGTTTCCACATTTATCATCAGAATTAATCCGACGGCCTGTTTTGGTGTTATCGGCAAATCTACCAGATACATAAAACCAGGTAAATAATATCAAGTATATAATAACTGGTATACAATATCAACAACTTGTGGTTAAAGAGACATGAGCAAACACGAACGATAATTGGACCTCGTTTACTCCAGTTATACCAGAAAATGTTTCCAGTGAATAAGATCCCATACTATACAATGTTCAAGTGTATAAGTGTCACTACCAACACAAGTGTATAAGTGTTACTACCAACACAAGTGTATACGTGTCACTACCAACACAAGTGTATAAGTGTCACTACCAACACAAGTGTATAAGTGTCACTACCAACACAAGTGTATAAGTGTCACTACCAACACAAGTGTATAAGTGTCACTACCAACACAAGTGTATAAGTGTCACTACCAACACAAGTGTATAAGTGTCACTACCAACACAAGTGTATAAGTGTCAATATCAACATAAGTGTATAAGCGTCACTAGCAACACAAGTGTATAAGTGTCACTACCAACACAAGTGTATAAGTGTCACTATCAACACAAGTGTATAATTGTCACTACCAATATAAGTGTATAAGCGTCACTACCAACACAAATGTATAAGTGTCACTATCAACACAAGTGTATAAGTGTCACTACCAACACAAGTGTATAATTGTCACTACCAATATAAGTGTATAAGCGTCACTACCAACACAAGTGTATAAGTGTCACTACCAACACAAGTGTATAAGTGTCACTACCAACACAAGTGTATAAGTGTCAATATCAACATAAGTGTATAAGTGTCACTACCAACACAAGTGTATAAGTGTCACTATCAACACAAGTGTATAATTGTCACTACCAATATAAGTGTATAAGCGTCACTACCAACACAAGTGTATAAGCGTCACTACCAACACAAGTGTATAAGTGTCACTACCAACACAAGTGTATAAATGTCACTACCAACACAAGTGTATAAGTGTCACTACCAACAAAAGTGTATAAGTGTTACTACCAACACAAGTGTATAAGTGTCACTACCAACACAAGTGTATAAGTGTCACTACCATTACATTGATATAAGTGTCAGTACCATTACAATGATATAAGTGTCACTACCATTACAATGATATAAGTGTCTTTACCATTACAATGATATAAGTGTCACTACCATTACAATGATATAAGTGTCACTACCGTTACAATGATATAAGTGTCACTACCATTACAATGATATAAGTGTCTCTACCATTACAATGATATAAGTGTCACTACCATTACAATGATATAAGTGTCACTACCATTACAATGATATAAGTGTCTCTACCATTACAATGATATAAGTGTCACTACCATTACAATGATATAAGTGTCACTACAATTACAATGATATAAGTGTCACTACCATTACAATGATGTAAGTGTCACTACCATTACAATAATATAAGTGTCACTACCATTACAATAATATAAGTGTCACTACAATTACAACGATATAAGTGTCGGTACCATTACAATGATATAAGTGTCAGTACCAATACAATGATATAAGTGTCACTACCATTACAATGATATAAGTGTCACTACCTTTACAATGATATAAGCGTCACTACCATTACAATGATATAAGTGTCTCTACCATTACAATGATATAAATATCACTTCAATTACAATGATATAAGTATCACTTCAATTACAATGATATAAGTATCATTACCATTAAAATTATGTAAGTGTCACTACCATTACAGTGATATAAGTGTCATTACCATTACAATTATATAAGTGTCTCTGCCATTACAATGATGTGTCACTACCATCACAATGATACAAGTGTCACTACCATTACAATGATATAAGTGTCAGTACCATTACAATGATATAAGTGTCACTACCATTACAAGGATATAAGTGTCACTACTATTACAATGATATAAGTGTCTCTACCATTACAATGATATAAGTGTCTCTACCATTAAAATGATGTAAGTGTCACTACCATTACAATGGTATAAGTGTAACTACCATTACAATATAAGTGTCACTACCATTACAATGATATAAGTGTCTCTACCATTACAATGATATAAGTGTCACTACCTTTACAGTGATATAAGTGTCACTACAATTACAATGACATAAGTGTCAGTACCATTACAATGATATAAGTGTCACTACCATTACAATGATATAAGTGCCACTACCATTACAATGATATAAGTGTCACTACCATTACAATGATATAAGTGTCACTACCATTACAATGATATAAGTGTCAGTACAATTACAATGATATAAGCGTTCTACGAAGCAAGATCGCCAACCACCTAGATAATCATCAGTTACACAACCCAGGTTAACACGGGTTTAGAGCAAGTCGCTCCTGCCTGTCCCAGCTACTGGACCACTATACCAAGGTCCTGGATGCTGTAGAGGATAAACAAAATACAGAAGTAGTATACACAGATTTTGCAAAAGCTTTCGACAAGTGTGACCATGGCGTAATAGCGCACAAAATGCGTGATAAAGGAATAACGGGAAAAGTTGGTAGATGGAGCTATAACTTCCTGACAAATAGAACACAAAGAGTAATAGTAAACAGAGTAAAGTCTGAGGCAGCCATGGTAAAAAAGCTCTGTTCCACAAGGCACAGTACTCGCTCCCATTCTATTCCTCATCCTCATTTCTGACATAGACAGAGAAGTAAGCGATAGCTCCGTGTCCTCCTTTGCGGATGACACCCGGATTACCATGGCAGTGACCTCCATTGAAGACACCGCGAGACTCCAAGCGGACATCAACCAAATCTTCGAATGGGCCACTCAAAACAATATAAAGTTCAACGAGGAGAAATTTCAACTACTCAGATATGGGAAACTTGAAGAAATTAAAAATGTGTCAGGGTATACCACAAATTCTAACCATACAACAGAGCGGAAAAGTAATGTGAAGGACTTACGAGTGATAATGTCAGAGGATCTCGCCTTCAAAGACCACAACAATGTATCTACCTCATCCGCTAGGAAAATGAAAAGATGGATAATGAGAACCTTCAAAACTAGGGACGCCAAGCCAATGATGATTCTCTTCAAATCGCTTGTGCTCTTTAGGCTGGAATACTGCTGTACACTAACGGCCTCCTTCAAGGCTGGCGACATTGCAGACCTGGAAAGTGTACAAAGAACTTTCACGGCACACATAAGTACGATAAGGCACCTAAACTACTGGGAACGGTTGAAGGTCCTTGATCTGTATTCCCTCGAACGCAGGCGGGAGAGTTACATGATAATATACACTTGGAAGGTCCTGGAGGGATTGGCACCATACTTATTACTGCACCTACTACATACATAGAACACTTAACTCTGACATAAACCCTCCCCTCAAACATCTCCTTACCAACCTCAACAAACACATGACCATAACACAAGGCACAGATCACTCTTTGATGTTCCTCGTGTCCATCTCACGCTATGCAAAAACTTAATGCACATAAAAGGCCCTAAAATCTGGAATTCATTACCTGTGAATATAAAAGAAACACTGTCTGTTTATAAATTCAAGTCTCTTCTCAAAAATCACTTACTTACCCACAACTAAATAAATACTGAATAATTGTATCTCATAAATTGTATCTCATTATTGTATCTCACAAATGTCAACCTGTGACCCAATCAAACTTTGTTACTATTTAACTTCATTACCTAACATAATACTCCATTCTACTGATCACACAGCAACACAGTAAATGATCATATAACCTGTCTTTGTAATACTCTCCTGTACTAAATTGTTATCTGTTTTACAATAATTTTTGTACCACAGAATATATCATTGCTTAGTTAATCTTAAGTTAATTTTAAGCCTGCCCGTAATGCTCTGCATACAAGGGGCTTTGGCATGCTGCATTTAAAAATTGTATTCCTTGTACTTCTCTGTATCGTGTTCAAATAAATAAATAAATAAATAAATAAATAAATAAATAATGTATCACTACCATTACAATGATATAAGTTTGACTACCATTACAAGAATATAAGTGTCACTACCATTACAATCATATAAGTATCACTACCAATACCATGGCTGCAACCTTTGTGCTTGTATGTAACCTGTGTGTTTGTATGTAACCTCTGTGCTTGTATGTAACCTGTGTGTTTGTATGTAACCTGTGTGTTTGTATGTAACCTCTGTGCTTGTATGTAACCTGTGTGTTTGTATGTAACCTCTGTGCTTGTATGTAACCTGTGTGTTTGTATGTAACCTGTGTGTTTGTATGTAACCTCTGTGCTTGTATGTAACCTGTGTGTTTGTATGTAACCTGTGTGTTTGTATGTAACCTCTGTGCTTGTATGTAACCTGTGTGTTTGTATGTAAACTCTGTGCTTGTATGTAACCTGTGTGTTTGTATGTAACCTGTGTGTTTGTATGTAACCTGTGTGTTTGTATGTAACCTGTGTGTTTGTATGTAACCTGTGTGTTTGTATGTAACCTGTGTGTTTGTATGTAACCTGTGTGTTTGTATGTAACCTGTGTGTTTGTATGTAACCTGTGTGTTTGTATGTAACCTCTGTGCTTGTATGTAACCTGTGTGTTTGTATGTAACCTGTGTGTTTGTATGTAACCTGTGTGTTTGTATGTAACCTCTGTACTTGTATGTAACCTGTGTGTTTGTATGTAACCTGTGTGTTTGTATGTAACCTCTGTGTTTGTATGTAACCTCTGTGCTTGTATGTAACCTGTGTGTTTGTATGTAACCTATGTGTTTGTATGTAACCTGTGTGTTTGTATGTAACCTGTGTGCTTGTATGTAACCTGTGTGTTTGTATGTAACCTGTGTACTTGTATGTAACCTGTGTGTTTGTATGTAACCTGTGTGTTTGTATGTAACCTGTGTGTTTGTATGTAACCTGTGTACTTGTATGTAACCTGTGTGTTTGTATGTAACCTGTGTGTTTGTATGTAACCTATGTGTTTGTATGTAACCTGTGTTTTTGTATGCAACCTGTGTGTTTGTATGTAACCTGTGTGCTTGTATGTAACCTGTGCGTTTGTATGTAACCTGTGTACTTGTATGTAACCTGTGTACTTGTATGTAACCTGTGTGCTTGTATGTAACCTGTGTGCTTGTATGTAACATGTGTGTTTGTATGTAACCTGTGTGCTTGTATGTAATCTGTGTACTTGTATGTAACCTCTGTACTTGTATGTAACCTCTGTACTTGTATGTAACCTGCGTATTTGTATGTAACCTCTGTATTTGTAACCTCTGTACTTGTATGTAACCTCTGTACTTGTATGCAACCTGTGTACTTGTATGTAACCTCTATACTTGTATGTAACCTGTGTGTTTGTACGTAACCTGTGTGCTTGTATGTAACCTCTGTACTTGTATGTAACCTGTGTACTTGTATGTAACCTCTGTATTTATATGTAACCTGTGTACTTGTATGTAACCTGTGTGTTTGTATGTAACCTCTGTACTTGTATGTAACCTCTGTACTTGTATGTAACATCTGTACTTGTATGTAACCTCTGTACTTGTATGTAACCTCTGTACTTGTATGTAACCTCTGTACTTCTATGTAACCAGTGTGCTTGTATGTAACCTCTGTACTTGTATGTAACCTGTGTGTTTGTATGTAACATCTGTACTTGTATGTAACCTCTGTACTTGTATGTAACCTCTGTACTTGTATGTAACCTGTGTACTTGCATGTAACCTGTGTGTTTGTATGTAACCTCTGTACTTGTATGTAACCTCTGTACTTGTATGTAACCTCTGTACTTGTATGTAACCTCTGTACTTGTATGTAACCTGTGTACTTGTATGTAACCTCTGTACTTGTATGTAATCTCTGTACTTGTATGTAACCTCTGTACTTGTATGTAACCTGTGTGTTTGTATGTAACCTGTGTGCTTGTATGTAACCTCTGTACTTGTATGTAACCTCTGTACTTGTATGTAACCTCTGTACTTGTATGTAACCTCTGTACTTGTATGTAACCTGTGTGTTTGTATGTAACCTCTGTACTCGTATGTAACCTGTGTACTTGTATGTAACCTCTGTACTTGTATGTAACCTCTGTACTTGTATGCAACCTGTGTGTTTGTATGTAACCTCTGTATTTGTAACCTCTGTACTTGTATGTAACCTCTGTACTTGTATGTAACCTGTGTACTTGTATGTAACCTGTGTACTTGAATGTAACCTGTGTGTTTGTATGTAACCTGTGTGCTTGTATGTAACCTCTGTACTTGTATGTAACCTTTGTGTTTGTATGTAACCTCTGTACTTGTATGTAACCTGTGCACTTGTATGTAACCTCTGTACTTGTATGTAACCTGTGTACTTGTATGTAACCTGTGTTTGTATGTAACCTCTCTACTTGTATGTAACCTCTGTACTTGTATGTAACCTCTGTTCTTGTATGTAACCTCTGCAATTGTATGTAACCTGTGTACTTGTATGTAACCTCTGTACTTGTATGCAACCTCTGTACTTGTATGTAACCTCTGTACTTGTATGTAACCTCTGTACTTGTATGTAACCTCTGTACTTGTATGTAACCTGTGTGTTTGTATGTAACCTGTGTGCTTGTATGTAACCTCTGTACTTGTATGTAACCTTTGTGTTTGTATGTAACCTCTGTACTTGTATGTAACCTGTGCACTTGTATGTAACCTCTGTACTTGTATGTAACCTGTGTACTTGCATGTAACCTGTGTTTGTATGTAACCTCTGTTCTTGTATGTAACCTCTGTACTTGTATGTAACATGTGTACTTGTATGTAACCTCTGTACTTGTATGTAACCTCTGTACTTGTATGTAACCTCTGTACTTGTATGTAACCTGTGTGTTTGTATGCAACCTGTGTGCTTGTATGTAACCTCTGTACTTGTATGTAACCTCTGTACTTGTATGTAACCTCTGTACTTGTATGTAACCTCTGTACTTGTATGTAACCTCTGTACTTGTATGTAACCTCTGTACTTGTATGTAACCTCTGTACTTGTATGTAACCTGTGTGTTTGTATGTAACCTCTGTATTTGTAACCTCTGTACTTGTATGTAACCTCTGTACTTGTATGTAACCTGTGTACTTGTATGTAACCTCTGTACTTGTATGTAACCTGTGTGTTTGTATGTAACATGTGTGTTTGTATGTAACCTCAGTACTTGTATGTAACCTCTGTACTTGTATGTAACCTCTGTACTTATATGTAACCTGTGTACTTGTATGTAACCTGTGTGTTTGTATGTAACCTCTGTACTTGTATGTAACCTCTGTACTTGTATGTAACATCTGTACTTGTATGTAACCTCTGTACTTGTATGTAACCTCTGTACTTGTATGTAACCTCTGTACTTGTATGTACCCTGTGTGCTTGTATGTAACCTCTGTACTTGTATGTAACCTCTGTACTTGTATATAACCTGTGTGTTTGTATGTAACATCTGTACTTGTATGTAACCTCTGTACTTGTATGTAACCTCTGTACTTGTATGTAACCTCTGTACTTGTATGTAACCTGTGTGTTTGTATGTAACCTCTGTACATGTATGTAACCTCTGTACTTGTATGTAACCTCTGTACTTGTATGTAACCTGTGTGTTTGTATGTAACCTCTGTATTTGCATGTAACCTCTGTACTTGTATGTAACCTCTGTACTTGTACGTAACCTCTGTACTTAAATGTAACCTCTGTACTTGTATGTAACCTGTGTGTTTGTATGTAACCTGTGTGCTTGTATGTAACCTCTGTACTTGTATGTAACCTCTGTACTTGTATGTAACCTCTGTACTTATATGTAACCTGTGTACTTGTATGTAACCTGTGTGTTTGTATGTAACCTCTGTACTTGTATGTAACCTCTGTACTTGTATGTAACCTCTGTACTTGTATGCAACCTCTGTACTTGTATGTAACCTCTGTACTTGTATGTAACCTGTGTGTTTGTATGTAACCTGTGTGCTTGTATGCAACCTCTGTACTTGTATGTAACCTCTGTACTTGTATGTAACCTCTGTACTTGTATGTAACCTCTGTACTTGTATGTAACCTCTGTACTTGTATGTAACCTCTGTACCTGTATGTAACCTGTGTGTTTGTATGTAACCTGTGTGCTTGTATGTAACCTCTGTACTTGTATGTAACCTCTGTACTTGTATGTAACCTCTGTACTTGCATGTAACCTGTGTGTTTGTATGTAACCTCTGTACTTGTATGTAACCTCTGTACTTGTATGTAACCTGTGTACTTGTATGTAACCTGTGTGTTTGTATGTAACCTCTGTACTTGTATGTAACCTCTGTACTTTTATGTAACCTCTGTACTTGTATGTAACCTCTGTACTTGTATGTAACCTCTGTACTTGTATGTAACCTGTGTGTTTGTATGTAAGCTGTGTGCTTGTATGTAACCTCTGTACTTGTATGTAACCTCTGTACTTGTATGTAACCTCTGTACTTGTATGTAACCGTGTGTTTTGTATGTAACCTGTGTGCTTGTATGTAACCTCTGTACTTGTATGTAACCTCTGTACTTGTATGTAACATCTGTACTTGTATGTAACCTCTGTACTTGTATGTAACCTCTGCACTTGTATGTAATCTCTGTGTTTGTATGTAACCTGTGTGCTTGTATGTAACCTCTGTACTTGTATGTAACTTGTGTGTTTATATGTAACCTGTGTGTCTGTATGTAACCTGTGTGTTTGTATGTAACCTGTTTGCTTGTGTGTAACCTCTGTGTTTGTATGTAACCTGTGTGTTTTGTATGTAACTGCGACTTGTTGTACTGTGTTGTATGTAACCTGTTGTGTACTTGTATTGTAAACCGTCTTTGTAACTGTGTTTGTATGTAACCTGTGTGCTTGTATGTAACCTCTGTACTTGTATGTAACCTGTGTGCTTGTATGTAACCTCTGTACTT